AGTAAGTCTCCACCATTGTTAGGAGCATTCCCAGGCCTGATTTTCTCCTTGTAGCTCTGTGTAAGTAGGTGGATGAAGTCAGGTCACCATCAGGAAACTGAACCTCAGGAGACGAGGATGAGGTTTTCAGAGCTCATGAAAAACAAGTAGGATTGAAATCGAAACCGCATTCCAAAGCCCACGCCCCTCCCACTACACCCACCACAGTGCAATTCCCTTCAGCCTCCAAACAGATAAGTGGTTGATGCTCGGTACCTACATGCAAAGTGTGCGCACGCGCGTGAGTGTGCTTGTGTGTGTGTGTGTGTGTGTGAGACAAGGGGGAGGGAAGGCATCCTAGAGCTGAGAACGGGAGAGGGTGGTGTGAAAAAGACCTATTCCCTTCCTATTCCCCTCTCCTCATACCTGCCCATCAGCTTTCTCCATCCACAGAATAATAACTACCATTTATACGATGCTTACTCTGCACTTGAAATCGTATTAAGTACTTGAGAAATTTAACTCCTTTCATAAAAACCCTGTGAGGTTGTATGTGTAATTAAGCTTTCCCATTTTGCACAGGGGCAGTGGGGGAAACTGAGGGTTACAGATGTTACACACAGGGTCACAGAGATAAGGTCAAGCCCAGGTGGGCCTGACTGGACCACCCAGGCTCTGAACAACCACACTGCTTGACCCCCCTGCCCGAGGCCCTTTCCTCCTTCAGTGGCCCCCAACACCTTCCTGGTTCTCCTGATTCCCTCCACATCTACCCAGCACAGCCTGCCACTCTGTCCCCTCTGTGACTATTCACACACATAGACCTCTTAAACCCAAACTGACTTTAATGAGGATAAAACTTTAAAAAAATATCTCTCTCTGGGAAAGAACAATGCCGGGGTAAGGATCAAGACACAGCCCAGTGTCTCCCTATAGCCTCCATACAGGCCCCTCAAACTGTACCTACTCTGACCAAACACCCCTTTCTATAGTACTGCTCCAGCAGCTATCCCTTCCTTTGGTGGGGATGACTTAGAGGTGCTGGCCTCCCCCAGATCCAATCCCTGAGCCCCTGCCAACTGTCCCACTTCCATGACTTCTTGGGACACACATCATCCTTCCCTTGACTCCCCTTGTACCCTGGGCTCTACACACAGACCCCTCTGGTTCCTGCTGGTTCTAACAGGTTTCTTTGATCCCCAGTGCCACCTCCCCATGGTCCTCCTAGCAGCAGCCCCAGCCTTGCCCTTCTTCTCATGTGGAGCCCTCTGACTTGGCCCCAGTCCTGTCAGTCCCTGCTCCAGAGAGCCCACAGTTCCAGCTACCTGAGGCCCCACCCTTCTGGACCTGGCTGTACAGGGCAGTGTCTGAGCTATGGCCTTTGCTGCCACTGCCAGCTGCAGCACCGGGTTCAGAGAAGGCCAGGCCCTGGGGCTTGGGAGCTGGGAAGGGCTTTGTGCTCCGCGGGGGTGGCACGGCGTAGTCATCAGTAGCGGGGTTGTAGGGGAGCTCATAGCCCTCCTCCTTCACCCGAGCCTGGCACCACCAGGCGTCCTTGGGCTCCTGAGGCAGATCATAGAGGTCCCGGAGGGCAGCTGGGGCCAGGCCCTCGGGTTCGTCATAGACGGGCTCTTCTTTGGGGTCTGTCAGCTTGGCCTTTATCAGCTGCTGCTGCGCATGCTCACACAAGCCCCAACAGAGAGGTTTCTTTAACTGTAAGTCCTGCCCTGCCTGAGCAGGGGTGCTGTCCAGGGGCTCTGAGTATAGGGGATCTTGGCAAGGGCTTGGAAGAATGCGCAGGGAGTCTAAGGGTTCAGCATACAGGGCTGGAGGGCTGCCTGCGAGCTCCTGGGGGCCCCGGGGGGGAGCCAACTTCCCTTCTGCCACTTCTCCTTCATGGGAATCAGCTCTGAGAACATCCTGCCCCTGGCTGGCCTTTCCCTGGGTCTTCTGTCGGTGGATAGCAGTCTCAACTGCCTGAAAGATGTCATTTCCCTGTGCCGTCTGGAAGGTGAAGGTTCCAGGGCCAGAGGGGCAGCGGCGGCCAGCCTCAAAAGAGAACATGACCTGAAGAGGGTGTGGAGGGAAACACATAATCAGGAGCCATCAGAGGAGGTGAGTCACAGGGCTGGAACTAGTTAGGGGACCTACAAAGAAGAGACCACCTGGGAAGGGAGGTGGGGTCATGGGCTAGGCAAGAAAGCCCGGTCCTGCCCCACCCCTCCCACAGCTGCCCAACCCAGGGAGCCAGTCCTGCACCGCACCTTGTCTCGGCCATAGCGACGCAACAGAGTGTAAGGCCAGGAAAGGAGTGGCTCCTGTATCTGAGTCTGGGCCCCCACGCCCAGGAGAGTCAGCCTCTCCACCTCCACTCTCAGCATATAGGAGCCATGCAGGCCACAACGCTCAGCGGCTTCAGTCCTTTGCACGGTTACCCAGAACTGGGATCCTGGAAGGAATACACAGTCAGACTGGCACCTGGCCAGGACTGGGGTGGGGGGAGGGAACAGGTTGTCCAAGCATACACGTGAAAGCCAGCTCTCAGGAGCATTCTACTTCCCCTTGTAGGACACCCTTTCTTTCCATGCCATCCCTGCTGGGGCTTTTCAGGCATCTACCTTCCCAGGCAGGGCTATAGAGTGAATTCTCCAGCATCTCCAGGGCAGAAAGCTTGGGTGGGTTCTCGGCAGGCGCCAGGGCCCAGCTGCCTTTCTGGGGTAAAGAGAAAGAGTATGAAGGAGACTGTAATTCCCTCACCGCGGTTCCCAGGGTCTGAGTCAGCCCAGTTCCTCTGCCGCTGTAACTGCTCCCACCCCGCATGGACTCTTGGGCCCAGTGCAGCTCGCCCCAGCCCCTCACCGGCAGCCCCGGCCCCCTCACCGGAAAGGCGTTTCGGCACAGCGTTTGCACCCAGGCGGCGCTGGACGGCGCGTCGGCCGCCAGCAGGTGGGAACGCTGTGCGGTGTCCAGGCGGAAAGCTGTGGCGCCAGGCTCAGGGGGGCTCTCCACGGCCACGGGGGCCACGCTCACACACTCAGCCAGACGGATCACCTTGCAGTCCAGGCGGCGCGTGCTCCCTCGGCCCCCTCCAGAGCTCGACCCCTTGTGGTCAAAGAACTCGAGCCGCGCGACACCGTGGGGGCTGGCCGGGTAAAGCACCGCCCAGGTCTTCCTCCACCTCTGGGGAAAGATCGGAGAGACACTAGGGAGGGAGAGCAGGCAAACACCGGCGGCCCGGGCCCCGACAGGGAGGGAGGGACCTGCGCGGGCCAATTTCAGGTCTGAGGCTTCCCGACGGCAGGCGAAGTTTCCCAAGGAGGATGCCGCTCCGTCTCCCCCAGGGCCAGAGAGGCGAAGCCGGAGGCCGGCAGACGCATCTTCCGAGTGTGTGCAAAGCAATTTAGCCGGAAATTCATAAGGCTCTCCGGCTCCGGGCGCCGCGCTCCAACCCGCTGCCGGTCCCCTCCCTCCATCTAAGCTCAGCTGCCCACCCCTAGCTCTGATGGGGTTCGGCAACCCCTACCCACACTACCTTGGTACCGAAACGCTGGCTCTGCAAAAACAGCGGCCCTTCCATCACGGCCCCGTCCATGGCCCCCGGCGGTTCCTTCCGCCCTTCCTGGCCCTGTGGGCCGGAGGCGGGGCGAGGCGGGGAGGAGGGCGGGGCGGGGCTCGCGCAGGAGGCGTTCCCGCCCCCCCACCAACCTCCCCGGACCGCGAAAGGGGAGGAAGGAGACAAGCCAGAAGGAAGGGGAGGGGGTATGCAGATAAGCTGGCTGGTGCACCACGTCCGGCCCACCCCCCCCAACGCTGGGTCGCGCACAAGTGACTCCACCGAAGGAAACCTCGTGGTTTCGGTCAGAGGACTCCGGCGCCTAGACTTGGGGGCTGCGTACTACGTCAGATGCTCAACGTGACGTCAGAGTGAAGGCCGTGACATCATCTCGAAAATGCCGACGGGCACCCTGGGGCATTGGAGGGACCATACGTGCCCTCGCGGCTTCAATTCCCCAGACCCGACCCGACCCCTGCTCGGCCGGAGTTGGGCTGTTTTAAGATCCGCGGAGCAGGGGACGTGGGGGAAGGGCTAGGGGCTGAAGACTTTCCGGAACTCGGAGCCGAGTCGCTGCACGGGACGCAGGACGGTCTGCGGCCCCGTGGCCTCTTCTGTGTTCAGCTCTCTGGCCGCAGCTAGCTACCCTGCACCCAACCCGCGAGAAAAGAAAGTTTTATTAAGCAGGCTGAGAGGCGGGGAGGGGGGCGGGAGGGAGGTGGAGCGGCGACTGCGGCCTGCTCCAAAGAGGAGGGGAGGAGAAGAGGAGGGAACTGGCCTGGGAGGGATCGTGGGAGAAGGCGGAATGTGGGAGGGCTCAAGGGGACGTGGGAGGAACGAAAGGGCTGGGGGAGAAAGGGGGGGCAGTCTCCCCTGGACAAGCACTTTTTTTGTAAGTCCTAGGACTGAACTCCAGGACCAAGACTCTTCTCCCAGCCGCTACGGCCCCCGCTCAGCCACAGGTAGGGGGAGTCACGCTGCCCGTGGGAGGAAGAAGAGTTGTGGATGGAGGATGGTGGAGGGAACCTGGGAAAAGGGGTGATGTGGGATAAAGTCAAAGGGAAGTCAAGCTACTGAGGGTTTTATTATTGTCAAAGAAGAGTGAGACACACGAAGAGTGGAGAAATGAAGCAGATATCGGGGGGCGGGGGCTGCGGGATGTTCCAAATAGGGCAGCCGGGAGGGCCCTAAGTCTGGGAGTTCCTCTGTGAGGCCCTCTCCCTGCGTCCCCAAGCCAAAATGTTCCCAAACAAAGCTGCCCTGTTGGGTTGTTTGAGTTGGGGGAAGCATGTAGGGGGGGTGGGGGGGGAGCTCGCTGTAGAGGGGCTGTTCTCCGCCCCAGACAGAGGGAAGGCCTTGGCAGAGAAGCCGATTGGTGCTCTCGCCTCCGCTTGCCCGTGACAGAGATGGCGGTGTTGGCAGGAGGCTTGGAAAACCCCACCCCATTCCCCCCCCCCCCCCCCCCGCCACCTTGAGGCCTGGCCCTCCTGGGCCCCTTGACCCTGCAGGGCATGTAGGATGTGCAAGAGTTCTCCAGTGCATTCTGGTTCTCTGCCTTCTCTGCCTGGAATCTGCCCAGAGAGGACTCTCGGCTTGGCTCCCATTCAGGGGACCTGAGATCCGAGGATCTCCTAAGCCCCTCCTTGCCTGCCTCTTTCCACAATCAGTAGCTATCTGTCCTCTGTCTGACTGGCTGAATAGGGTCATCTGGGTCCCTTCTGCCTCTGCTCCTTGGCTCTTGTCAGTTCCCCTCCTCCTCACCTATTGCCTGCCTTTCTCAGTTGCCCCCCAATTCTGTGTGCCAGGCTCTCTCCTGATCCCTCTCTATCCATCTTCAACATCGTTGCTCTCTCTACTGTCTCTGTTTGATCCCCTTTCATTCCCACAGTTTCCCTTCCTCTCACATTCTCTCTGTCTGGGTCTCCCTCTCCGTGTCTCTTGCTCAGTCTCTTCCTCTTTATCTGGACCATTCTCTGATCTTGGTCTCTAATCTCTGTCTTTTGATCACTGGGTCTCCTTGACCCACGAGTCGGGGTATGGAGGTGATGATAGCAGAACTAAGGAAAGGACATTGTGAGACATAACAACTAATAGTGAGAGTTTTATTCTTCACAAAAGGGAGGGAGAGCCTCTCTCTCTCCCTCCCCCGCCCCCCAATCTGGGTCTCTCAGTCTGTGTGCCTCTTTGACTCTGTGTTTCTGCTCTTATTTAGTATGTGTTCCTTTCTCACTGTCTCTCTTAGTCCGTGGATCCCTCTCTTTCTCTCGCACTGTCTCTCTGTCTCTGGTCTTAACCAGTGTCTCTTTTCCTCTCATGACCTCTCTCTCAGACCTGGGCCTGGCTCAATTTCAGCTTCTCTCACATATTCTCTCTCTGGGGCACCCAGGCCTTCCTTGCCATGCGACCTGTCAGTGTCTGGCAGTGGAGCCTGTGGGGGCTGCTGCTGTGCCTGCTGTGCAGCTCGTGCCTGGGATCTCCATCCCCATCCACGGCCCCTGAGAAGAGGGCTGGGAGCCAGGGGCTACGGTTCCGGCTGGCCGGCTTCCCCAGGAAGCCCTTCGAGGGCCGCGTGGAGATCCAGCGGGCTGGTGAATGGGGCACCATCTGCGATGACGACTTCACGCTGCAGGCTGCCCATGTCCTATGCCGGGAGCTGGGCTTCACAGAGGCCACAGGCTGGACCCACAGTGCCAAATACGGCCCTGGAACAGGTGAGCAATGCTCCAGGCACAGCCTAGGTATTGCCAAAGTGCAACCTAAATGTAGGGAGAGGGAACACCAGGATGGCACAGCCATAGGGACACAGAACACCAAGAAAAGCCAGTGTCAAGTACAACCATGGGGGACAAACCGACCAGCAGTCACTTCTCAGAGCTGTGTGAACTTAGGCTGGTCAGTGCCTTCTCTGAGCCTCAGATGCCCCATGTGCAAAATGACTAGGTGAACTCTAAGTTCCTTTCTGCTGCAAAAGTATGATTCTACAAAGCCACGTGCAAAGACAGCGCTGACACAGGTGAGCCCTGTATGATTAAAGTACAACTGGTTTCATGGGAAGCTGAAAGCAGGTAAATGATGTCTGGATGTCCCAAAGCCAGAAGGAATCACAGATACTGCAGCCAACAAAGTCAGATTATAGACCAGAGCTGAAACCAACAAGCTGGAACTTACCAAAGACAAGTATAAACTCTAGGACAAGTATGAATGTGGGTAGTAGGGGATTAGGAACAATTCTGAGACCTGGGGGTGCTTACACTGTATGAGCCCACAGTGAGATTGATAGAAACTGGTGCAGTCTGCAGCTAATCCCCCAGTTTCCACTGGCTAGATCACTTCTGGAATGAAGTGTCACTTTAGATGCCACATTTCCAGAGAGACAGTAGAAAATGGAAGTACTGGGAATTCCCTGGTGGTCCAGGATTAGGACTCCGCGCTTTCACTGCCAAGGGTGCAGGTTCAATCCCTGGTCAGGGAACTAAGATCCTAAAAATGGAAGTATATTCAGAGGAGAGCTGGCCAGATGTGAAAGACTGGAAGCCAATTTTCAAGGAATAGCTGAAGAAACCAGGGATATTTGGTATGAAAGGAAAAAGCTTTGGATAACAATTACATGATGGTTGTCTTCAAATGTGAGTACAGTCATTTGGCTGAGGGTTTTTTCTGGATGGCATCAAAGGACTGAATCAGACCTGGAGTGGGGGAGTCATAAAAGAGTCTCAAGGACTTTGTGATGGTTCCAACAGCCCGCTGGGGCAGGAGGTAGGTATCCCAGCAGAAGCTGGGTAAGTCCTGTCAGTATATGCATGAGGGGTCCCTGCACATTAGCTGGGACCAACCTTTGAGGGGCCACCCAATTCTGAGAGAAAGTCGGTGATATTCATTTCAGTTTGGTCCAGGCAGAGAGAAGAACGCAGGGCAATGTGGCAATGCAGATGGGGGGCACATGGGAGAATGTAAGGCTGAGGTGAAAGGATTTTACATTTCCAAATCTCACAAATGGCTCAAATCCCTAAGCCCCCATGTATTGGTTGTGGTCTTAGTCAAGTTACTTAACTCCTCAGAACTCCAATTTCTTTATACAAAATGGTGATAATACCTTCTGGCAGCTCTGTTCTAAGGATGCTCACATATGTACATACCTTGGCAGATTGCCTCACATACAGTAGGTACTTGATTAATTGTAGCTGTCATTGAATGGGTAAGGGCTGATCAGAACTTCAGTGTTGACTCTTGGTTTTTTTTATTCACCCTACCAAATTCTTGGGTATCCCCAGATCACTATCAACCCTCCATCAATCCTATGCTCCCTTTCGTATTCCTTTCCAGGGTCCCCTGTCCCTTCCCCACTCATTACCTTACCAGGTATGAGGCTTCCATGCTCATTCTCACCAGCATCCCCATACTACCTCTCCAAGCCCCTCTGTCCCCTTATCTCCCGCCCCTCCACAGGCCGCATCTGGCTGGACAACCTGAGCTGCAGTGGGACTGAGCAGAGTGTGACTGAATGTGCCTCCCGGGGCTGGGGGAACAGTGACTGTACCCACGATGAGGATGCCGGGGTCATCTGCAAGGACGAGCGCCTCCCCGGCTTCTCGGATTCCAATGTCATTGAGGTCTGTAGTTCATAAACACACACACACACACGCTCACACACACACACCACCCAGGGTGGCGAGACACAGAGGGCTGTGGAGTGGTTATATGCGCAGATACTAGAAGGTAGAGGATCCCATATGCCCAAGGGGATAATTTGGGTTGGTGGGGGACTTGGGGGGGCACAAAATGATAGGGCTCCGAGACACTGTATAGTCCAGGTTTTAGCATTAGCATTCAAGTTACTAAGCCTGGCATGAGCCTCTCCAACTTCATCCCTGGTCCTCAGGGCACTGTGCTCTCCTTCACCTCAGATATTCCTCCTCTCCAGGGACATCTCCCTTCTTACTTTCTCCTCCTCCTTCAATACCACTTCCTCTGTGAAGTGCTCCCTCAGGCTCCAGGCAGAGTTAGATGCTACTTCCCCAGCTTCTTCTGGACCCTTAGTCATTTCTCAGAGCATAGCATGTCCTTGCACACTCATGGCTGCAGGAGGGTCAACACACCCACACACCCCAAGAGAGTCAACATACCCACACACCTCCTGGAGAGCAGGCCTGCCTCTCAGCCCCGTCTCGCCATTGGGTTTACAGCAAGCTCACTCAGTCAGGGTTCCTTGAGGGTGGCCGGACATATGAAAGGTGTCATTGGGATTCCTTCCTCTACTTGTGGTCCCATCCCCAGGTAGAGCATCACCTGCAAGTGGAGGAGGTACGAATTCGACCAGCCGTTGGGCGGGGCAGGCGGCCCCTGCCCGCGACTGAGGGACTGGTCGAAGTCAGGCTTCCGGACGGCTGGTCGCAAGTGTGTGACAAAGGATGGAGCGCCCATAACAGCCACGTGGTCTGCGGGATGCTGGGCTTCCCTAGCGAAAAGAGGGTCAACGTGGCCTTCTACAGGTGAAGGGACGAGGGCGCTTGTTAGGGAATGGTGTTGAGAGACCTCCGAGGGGGCTGGGGCACTGGGGGAACCTGGGCTCCGGAAGAGTGGGGAAATGTGGAGGCCTCTGCTAAACTGGAGAGTTGAGAAATCTTGCGGGACCATGAAGCGGTCCCCGAGGCGAGTCTGCCACGGGACCGGCGAGGCTCGAGCTTTCTAGCGGCCCGAGCCGGCGCGGGGTGAGCGGCGGCTATGGCGTCGGTGCCCGTGACTCCATCGGTCGCCAGGCGGCGTCTCCGCGACCCGGGGCGAGCGCCGGGTCTCGCGAGGCCATGTCCACCGGCCCGCAGGCCCGCGGGCGGTTGCGGTTACGGTGCAGGCACTGGCGCGGCCCAGGAGCCCGCGGGTCGATTTAGGGGGGGTGGGGGCGCGGCCATGCCCTGCAGAGGCGGAACTGGGGCGGGGCCGGACGCCGGGAGTCTGAAGGTGACAGGTCCGGAGCATCCCCGGGGCGGTGCGTCCCCGCCAGAGCGCCAATCCCTGAAGGCCGGAGGGCGCCGGGAGGGGCCTGGCGCCTCCCTGGGTCCAGGCGGCCCACGAGGCGTCTGTGATCGCGCGAGCCCTCAGGACTCCTAGGCAAGTTCTCCAGAATATGCTTCGGCCCAGAAGCCCGGCCCTCTTCACCTGCTCTGGAGCCCTGGTGTACGCGCCGGCCTCTAGGAAACGGATCGCACTGGTGACCGGTCCTGTGCTTAACAGCGTCTCGCTTCCCTGGAGCATCTAATTGGGCATTTTGAGAAATTTAGAAATTTCTCTGTAATTTAAATGATTGTTTTCTTCATCTCTTCCTTAGATCCGTTTTGCAGTTAGACCTCTTAACATCTGGGTGACCTTCCACTGGGTACACTACTTCAGATGTGGTCTGATCAGGGCAGGGTACAGCAGAAATGCTCACTTTTAATTAAAGCATGTGTAGATTTTGCATTGCCTTTCTGTTGAGGCAGCATCCCACTGCTCATATTGACCCTGTAATCACCTAAATTGGGTCCTCTCTCATCCTTGATACTAATAGAGCAGCCTAAATCTGTTGAGTTTACCCTATTAGTTTATACATCATTTAAAAACCATTAAAAAGCCATGATGATCCCATGAGATTATCTTGAATCTTGACATTATTTTCCACTTGTCATCCCTCCCTGCCTCCTCTGTTCATTTTCCACTTGTCATCCCTCCCTGCCTCCTCTGTTCAACAGATATGATAGCTCTGCTTCCTGACTTCATCAAAGTGACTGTTAAAATTGTTGAAATCTTTAAAACCAAAGTCTAACTCTTCTTATGAATCCTCCAGATTTACATCAAACCTTTAATCATTAGTTGTAAAATGTTTTTTCAGCCAATTGGGAACAAACTGAACACTACAATGATGTAGCCAACATTATACCATCTTATCTGTAATGAAATCATGGGAGATTTTATTAGTCTGCTAAAATCCAGCTATATTATGTTCACAGCCATTCTGCAGCCTTCCAATTTAGTAATCTTACCAAGAAAGGAAATCATGGTGGTTTGACTGGGCTAATTTTTACTGAAATCCTTTTAGATTTCTAAGGATCACCATATTTTTCCTCAATGCTCACAAACTTTCTATTTAATAACTTATTCTAGAATATTAATTATCTGTAGATTGAAGAATCCTCTTCCTTCTTTTCAAAAATCAGTACATTATCCAACCTCCAGTCTTTTCCATACTTGCTCAGATTTTCTTTGCCTTGGCTCTGAAACACATCTTTCAGCCCCAAGGAATATACTTTATCTGGCATAGGGACTCATATGGTTTAAAACATCTATGTGCTGTGCTCCTTTGTTATTATCTACCTTGGGGCTATATTTCTTTCCCTGTGCTTGTTCTTTACCTTTCCTAATCCAAACACCAGGTTCTGAAAGATTAGTACGATTTAAATAGCAGGCATTTCAGGTGAAGAGGGTAGCATGAACAAAAGTGTAGAGAGTCATTCATTCAACATTTATTTATTGAGTGCCTACTGTGTGCCAGGGACTGTTGTAGATACTAGGGATTCAATAATGAACAAAACAGACAAAAATCTCTGATCTCATGGACTAGGGAAGTACCAGAAAACGAGTAACATTACAAAATGTAAGGATGGCAAAGGGCGTAATAGATAAAAATAAAGCAGGGAAAGGGTTAGGAAGCGGGACCGGGATTGCAGTTTTAAATAGGTCAGAGGAGGCATCATTTGAGAAAATATTTAAAGGAGGCAAAGGCACAAGCTATGCAAAAATCTAGATGAGCATCTCCAGGAAGAGGCATCATAAATGAGAAGATCCTGGGGAGTGTGGTGGTGTGTATCACGATGTGGGGGATGGGGGATTCTTGTCATGCTCCAGGAGACCCCTGGGGCTGGAGCTGAGTGAACAAGGGAGAAAATGATAGGACATGTGATGCAGGAGGAGATAGGGAAAGAACGGGGAGCCAGATCATATAGGGCCATTTGAGAGTCTTTGGTTTTTACTCTGTGTGAGATAAGGTTTGGGGCAGAGGTGTGACATCTGACTTCCACTTTTTATGTATTATTTGGGCTGCTTTGTTAAGAATAGACTGTAAGGGATGTGGCAGAATCAAGCGTCAGGGAGATAAGGCAAAGTGCAAAGAGGGGACTACCCTGGCAGTCCAGTGGTTAAGACTCTATGCTCCCAATGCAGGGGGTACGGGTTCGATCCCTGGTCAGGAAACTAAGATCCTGCGTGCTGCATGGCGTGGTGCGGCGTGGCCAAACAAAAAACAACAACAACAACAAAATGCAGGGCTTCCCTCGTGGCGCAGTGGTTGAGAGTCTGCCTGCCGATGCAGGGGACGCGGGTTCGTGCCCCGGTCCGGGAAGATCCCACATGCCGCGGAGCGGCTGGGCCCGTGAGCCATGGCCGCTGAGCCTGCGCGTCCGGAGCCTGCGCTCCGCAACGGGAGAGGCCGCAACAGTGAGAGGCCCACGTACCGAAAAAAAAAAAAAAAAAAATGCAAACGGAGGTGAGGTAGAAAGAAAAGCAGGTGAGTGTGGAGGCCTAGAAGCCAAGTAAAGTGCTTCAAGGAAGAGTGATCAAGTGTGTCAGTGCCGCTGATGGGTGTAAAAACATGAGGACTGAGAAATGAATACTGGATTTAGCAACCTGGAAGTTATTGCTGACCCCGACAAAGATGAAAATGAATAGGATATTTTGAAAGACAGTTGACAAGAGTAGAAGATTTATACTGAGAAATAGTGGAAGAAAGATCCGAATGGATAGAGTAAGGCTAGAAAATGGAACACTTTTCATGCCAGATTGGAGAGTTTTACCTTTATCTTATGGAAAATTAAAAAATAAAAGTACTTGTATGGGACAGTGATAAAATAAGGCCAATGTTTTTAAAAGTTTGATAGTAGTGAACTGGAAGAGGAAGTTCTAGATGCAGTAAGATTAGTCATGAAGCTGATCGGGAGGATGACAACGAGGAGAGAGGGGAATGAATAGATGTAGGATGACTGATAGAATATAGAAAATAAGAGAAGAAAGAACTAAAATGATACTGAAGCTGCTCAAGAGAAGGATGGTATCCATCAGGCATCTCTGGGCTTCAAGTTAATATGAACTAACTTTAGACGTGGGCCGTCCCGGGGCATTTTGAGGCCCAGGAATTGTCCCCACGTATATACAGCCTCAAGTAAGTTTCGGAAATCAGGAATATTTGTGTACCTATTGTGATCTCTTACTGAGTCTGGGATATGAAGGCTGGAGAAGGAAATATACTTAGTTCAGTGTTCATTCTTAGTGGGGAAAGAGATTACAGGGGTCCTGGGAGATTCTGTGATGAGGATATGGTATAGATACTCCTTCACAGGTCAAGTCGGACAGAGGGAGAATCCTCGTAGGTAATACAATTATAAAGGCTAGGCAAGATAGTTATAAACAACTCTACCTTCCTTAGAGAAAGAAGATGCATCTGCTAGGTTTTAGAGGAAGTCAGTAAGATTTAGAGAATAAGAAAATCAGAATGTGATATATTTATCATTTTTAAACTTGGTTTGGTAGTTCTACCCTAGAACATGTGAAAGTTGTAGAATCTTAGAAGAGGAAAATAATGTACAGATAATTGAACCATTTACTGCCCTTTTTCAGGCAAAGAAGTTGAGGTTCTAAGAGCTTAAGTGCTGTTTAAGAAGTCACTCTTCTAGTTCATTTCAGTTTGATAGATATTTATTGAACTCCTACTATTTGCCAAGCACTGTGCAAGGTGCTCAGAATACAGAGGTGATGAGAGAGTTAGTTAGGCACCAAATCATAGAAGACCTTATAGGCTATGTTAAGGATTTGGATCTTTATGATAAAAGTAATGGAAAATCATTGAAGTTTTTTAATGAGGAGGGCTGTGAGAGGACATGATCAGGTTTGTGGCTCTGAGAGATTACTTTGACTGCATTTCTGAGAATGGTTTAGAGAAGAGCAAGAGCAAATGGATTAGAGAGTTGTTTAGGACAGAACATTGACAGGACTTCGTTACGGATTGAAGAGGGAAGAGTCAAGGTTGACTCCTAGGTTTCCGGCGTAGATTTTGCTGGAAGAGTTATGTTTATTTTTTAGACCCACATTAAATTTTAGATAACTTTGAGATATCTAAGTAGGAACATCAAGAAGGCAATGGAATATACAAGGTTAGGTGTGAACGAGAACATATAAAGAGAGGATGTGGAGTGAGAAGAATGCCTTAGAGCTCTAAAAATTTTAATGACTATATAGAGGGGGAGCCTGATAAGAAGACCAAGAAAGAGCAACCAGAATTAGGACTGAAACAAGGCCAGTAGTGTTGTGACAGCCAAGGAGGGAAAGAGAGAACAGCAGTGTCAGATGCTACCAAGAGTCAATGGGATGAAGACTAAAAAAGAAGAAAAAAAAATCTTCTGGATTTATCATCGCAGAGTGATGCGGGGGGGGGGGGGGGGGGAAACCAGAAAGGGGGGGGTTAGGGAGTGAGTGGGAGGAAGGATGATGAGTGTTGACAACCACTGAAAAGTTTTTCTATGAAGAGGGAGAAAGATGTGGGGTGGAGGGTGTGTGTGTGTGTGAGAGAGAGAGAGAGAGAGAGGGCGCTGAACATGTTTAAAAGGATTCGATTGAGAAGGAGAGGTTATGTGCAACTTCTCAGTTGAGAAGGAGAGAAAGGAACATAGGGGAAGGAATTCAGAAACGTTTGGGGGCAGTGGCCTTAGAGAAGAAAGACAGTTGGAATGAGAAAAGGATGTGCAGATGCAGGTAGCTTTTTATGTTTGATGGTTGAAGGAACACATGATAGGGAAAACAAGCACATTTGTGAATGAAGAAATATCAATCAAGACAAATAACAGTACTGGTCCTAAACAAGTACCAGGTCCTTAATGTAACCTGTATTTGCCTTATAATGTATATTATTATATATACCATATAATATATAATATAAAGACCTTATATAGTCCTTAAATAACTTAGAGAAGAAGTACTTCTAAATTTCTAGGTAATACTACATTTTTCTGAATACAACGCTGGAGATCAGAATGATCTCTCTGGGTTACTGGTGAAAGAAAGTGCCAAGTATATTTCATTTCAGACATGTTTGAGAAAAACACATCTAGAGAAAAAGTTTCACACTATACATATATGATGAAAGGTTCTAAACTCTTAGTAGCGTCTCAGGAAAGTTTCTTAGTAGTTTCTCAGGAAAGGGACCCGAGAGTTATTGTAGACTCTTTGCTAGGAATGTTGGACATATTGAACGTTTTGGCAAAAAGACCAACTAAGTACATCCTCAGTAAGAAGCCAGGGCAGGAGGTACCAAGCAGATTCAGCCCTGTTAAAATCCATTTATTAAAATCCTAGCACATCTGCACATAGTATACCATATCCAAAGATGACTCCTCAAGAGAAACAGCAGAGCAGGAACATGTTCAAAGAGATGATAACTAAGAGGATAACAGGGAATTCCATAAATTTTGTAAGGACAGACAAGACCTGCATTCATTATACATAGTTGGACAGGACAAAGGGGGCAAAGTGAAAGTCTTTGAAATCAAAGGGAGAATGAGTGGAGAAACAGACCTAGTTTCCACGCATTAGACTTAAGGCAACTTCTTGAAGAATAAAATAGGTCAAATATTTAGGCCAATTAAGAAGAAATAAGGTTTTAGAACTTAATCCCTGGAAGTAAGTTTGGGAAATGAGCTCAGTTTGTGAATGACTAAAGCAGTGACTAAAGCATATGGGATTTAACTAAAGCAGGAAGGGTTCTGTCACCCTAAGCAGCCTGGCCTTATGCTCCCCAGTCAGACCAAGTCAACGTCCCTTACTATCCAGCCTTGGTCCTTGGTCCTGGTTCACTGGCCTCAGGCCTGGACATGCCAGAAGCCAGAGAGCATCCAAGGAAAAAATACATAGCCTCTCTAGGTGTGACCAAGCCAGTTCTCTCTCCTTGCCTAGTCAGTCTGGCAATCCTAACCCTTTCTACTTACACCCATTCCCCTAGCCCTCCCCCCAGGTTTAGATCAGCCCTAATATCAACCCAAGAGTCCTTATCCCCTATCTGCCTTAACCTAATTTCTGTGGGTCCTGGTATAGGGTCTTTATCAGCCCCGAGTCCATGTCCTTCACTGCTGCTCACCTGTCTGGTAATGTGCTTATGAGGCCAAACAGCTGTGAAGGGTTGAACTTTGGAGGTATCTGATGTTATAAGATCCTGCCACCAGGAGCCCTCTAACTATTGGAAAAGAAATCTTGCCCCTGGTCCCAGTTGCACTAGCTTTTCCCACTTAGTTCTAGACTGATCCTGACTCTGCTGCTGCCTTGTCCTCACAGAAAGTTGAGGAAGCGAGCGGCCAAAGCCTCGACCCGATGCTCCAAGCCCCTTGGAAGGTAATGGGGCAAGAGCCCCGGGACCTCCTGCTCATCCCTGTGACCCCAGGAGGTGGATGGATGGAAGGCAGCCTATCCATGTCCATCCCAGAACCCAAGCTGATGAATCAGGGATATGACTGGAAAATGGCCATTCCAGGGGAGAGGGGAGGGGAGGCAGGCATGGGGATGGGTAAGCTTTGATCTTAGGAAGCCCAAGGAGGAAATAATGCAGGAATGGCTTAGGAAAAGCCTCTGCATCTTTATACTTCCCCCAAATAGCTTGGACTCCAGCCTCAGCCACCTGCATGCTTCCTCCCCTGCCCCAACTCCTAACCTCCCTTAATTCATCTGCATTCCCATTCTCTCTTCTCCCTTTACCATTCCTCTTATCTCCTCTCCCCTCACCACCTGGATTGACATAACTAGTTTTCTCGTAACTGTTGCTGAATCCAGAGAGCAGCATGTATTCCAAAAGTAGTTAAGTGGTATGCAGCAGTATATGTGGAAAATCTGACTGCCTTTGCTTTGCCCCTCCCCATACTCTGCATGAAGGGTCCTTCCTAGAAACAGAAAATAATAATAATAATAATCCTTTACTTTTCCCTGGCAACATACCTGACCGCTACCTCCAATAACTTCTTTCTCCTTTTTTCAGACCAGTCATCAAGCTTAAAGCCAAACCCAAACCCCGAGTGGGCAGGGGGCCAATCAAGAGGTAAACAAAGTTCAGGCTAAGTGGAGAGGAGAGGGAGTGCCGAGTGACGAGTCAGGGGTGTCGGGCTGTGGTCAGGAAGGGGTCCAAGAGAAGCCTCCACCAAGAGGTGGAAGAGCAGCAGCAACTGTTACAAGCCACCTTCCAGATGAGTCACCGAAATGTAAAGTAAGACTGGCCCTTATGTGGTTCTCTGAGGAATTATGCTTGTCACAGGATTTTTGAAAATCTCAGAAGTTCATCCACTGACTACCCTTGTTCCACAGGCTTATTTACCTTCACCCAGCAGATTTTAGTAGATACTCTGGCACTCTTGTCCTTCAGATGCCATGCTTGCCTCTCCCCCAAGAAGTTAAGTTTGCCTAAGGGATCAGTGTTCCCATCCTACCTTTATTTAATTGTTAAAAATAAGTGCTACCAGCTTGGAAGTGAGACTGAGGATCCCCTCTGGAAACTTTGTCGGGGATGGAGTCACATGGAAGTCCTGATCTCTGGCCCAGTTCACACAATTAGGCTCCCAGTCCCATCATTTTCCTCCTGGGTTCCTTCAGAACCCCAGGGAATGGAAAGCTTCCAATCCCGATGATTGTGTCTCACTTGGTTTCTAAAGACAATTTGTGCGTGAGAAGTCTCTCTGATAGCGTCTGCAGCAGTAGTTGAGGTATAGAGAATTCATCCCTTTCTATTGTTTCCTCCTCTCTTCACAGCATTCCGAGATCACCCAGTGGCCCCTGGTACCCCTCATTCCCCAGCTCCTCCCTCTGGTGCCTTCAAAGGGGCTTGGAATTTGGGAGTGTTCTTGCAGTGCCCTTCCAGCTTAGGGTCATCTTGCCCAACATGGCCATACTCTGGCCTTCCCTGACCCCCACATTAAAATGCACACTGGTGTTTTTATTTTGTCAGTTATGGGGAAAAAAGGAGGAGAGAGTTTAGAAGAGAGATGTCTTTTTCCTCTGATGGCGTCTTTGACTTTTATTTTCAGCCAGACAGGACTTTGGGAGAATACCTGGTCTCTTTGAATCCACTTATCTTGAGCTCGCAAAGGTATTCTGTAAAGTCTCCAGGCTTCCTTTGTCTGATTTGTTTATAACTTGTCCATCTCTCTGTGTCTTCCCAGCCAATGGCTTCAAATCGTCATATTCCTTCCTTCCTCTGACATCAAGTAATGGAGCACATTACTGCAATAATTCACTGCCAAACCAGCCTCACAGACCCACTCCACCAACACCAGGCCTCATCTGGTTCCTTTCCTCTCTGGGTTCAAACCAGCTGTTCTGGGAAGAAAGTACTTCTCTCATCACACGGCTCACTGCAGTATCTCATTCCGTTGGTGTCAATAAGCAAGTCTCCTCATTCTCTCTAGCATCTCTCTGCTGTGTTTCCAAGTTTTAACATCTCTAATTTAGTCCCATTTTCCCACTTGAGGGGCTATGGAACATTCTTTCTGTTACATTTAAACTGCAGAAGCATGGACTACCTCATTAAAGACTCATACAGTTCAGCTTAGGTCTGGGGATATCTTCAGCCTTCTGTTGTTCATATTCACTCTCCTTCTCTGGTCACGTGGCCTCTCTTTGTCTGTCTTGCATTTGTACATCTTCGTTCCTGTATATACCAGCTCCAGTCTTTCCTGTGTTCACCGTCTGGTCTGTTCTTCCATAACTGCCCATCATCCTCTGGCCTGGAAACCCCTCTGGCCTCTAAGAAGCCATGTAGACGCAAGACTTACTCACTCCTTTGCATCCTGACTCATTTAGTTATTTCAGTCACAGCGTAATAGAAGGATCTGCTCACTCTGGCTATCCAGGCTTCCTGTTTGTGTCAGCTACTCCCTCCTACCCATCTCTTCCAGCTGGGCAGTCCTGGCTTCCTCTTGTCTTTGCACAGTAGCGTCAGCCTCAGCCTCCATTAGGGCCAGCACCCTGAAACCGTACAGAACAAGGCTTCTGTCAGGCAAGGCAGGAAGACGAGCCTTCCTTCCCATAGGGTTCTTCTGCTGCAGAAGGTCCCCAAGGACCAGCCCCCGTCCAGGTAATCTAGGCTCTTTCGGCCTAGAAACTCGCCATTACCTTTGTCTCTTTGTCTCTGTGTTTTTGCGGAGAAGAGGGGAAGAAGAAGGGCTAAAGTGGTCGTGGGTGGAGGCACGGAGTGGGAGGAGGGATGTGGGCAAAGAGGCAGGAGCACTGCTTTACCCTACTGCTCCCACTCCTGTCCCCCCAGGCTGCTGGCCCAGCGGCAGCAACACTCCTTTGGTCTGCATGGGGTGGCGTGCGTGGGCACGGAGGCCCACCTCTCTCTCTGCTCCTTGGAGTTCTATCGTGCCAATGACACCACCAGGTGCCCTGGGGGGGGCCCTGCGGTGGTGAGCTGTGTGCCAAGCCCTCTCTACGCAGCGTCCAGTGGCCAGAAGAAGCAACAGTCGAAGCCTCAGGGGGAGGTGTGTGAGACAGTGACTATGACCTTCCCCACCCCAGGCGGAGAACCCCCAGCCTGGCCAGCCCCTGATTAAGCACAGCCTTGACCTTTGAGGACAGAGAGGAACCTCCTACCTCCCATGCTCCCTCCCACCAGAATCTCATTCATCTCCCGGGTCTACTCAGCCCTCTCTGTGCTGATGTTTCCATTCACTGCTGGGCACCTCTCTCTCCTTTACAGGCCCGAGTGCGATTAAAGGGTGGAGCCCACCCAGGAGAGGGCCGGGTAGAAGTCCTGAAGGCTGGCACGTGGGGCACAGTCTGTGACCGCAAGTGGGACCTGCAGGCAGCCAGCGTGGTGTGTCGGGAGCTGGGCTTCGGGAGTGCTCGAGAGGCTCTGAGCGGTGCCCGCATGGGGCAGGGTGAGGGGGGTGCAGGTGGGAGGGAGAGGGAAGGAGGAGGTACACACTTCTGGGGGAGGGTACATTCATTAGGAAGGAGACCCTTGGACAGATAATGAAGTTAGAACCTCCTGATCTTTGACCTCTGACCTTAGGCATGGGTGCCATCCATTTGAGTGAAGTTCGATGCTCTGGCCAGGAACCCTCCCTCTGGAAGTGCCCCCACAGGAACATCACAGCTGAGGACTGTTCCCATAGCCAAGATGCTGGAGTCCGATGCAACCTGCCCTACACTGGGGTAGAGACCAAGGTCAGTCATTCTTTCCACTTGATTCAGGTATCTCACATCCTATCCAGTTCTGGTCATGATCTGCAGTCTGATGCCCACTGCCCCATGCCCCTGCCATCCAGCAGCTCCCACCTGATGCCACCACTTGCTAGCCCTTTAAGTGCCTCTGAATCACCATTCAGCCATAGGCCTGCTACAGACTCCCACTACTCCACCCCCAAAAGCTTCCCCAGTACTTCCACTGTGTCACTACAGATCCGACTCAGCGGGGGCCGCAGCCGACATGAAGGGCGAGTCGAGGTGCAAACAGGAGGACCTGGGTCCCTTCGCTGGGGCCTCATCTGTGGGGATGACTGGGGGACGCTGGAGGCCATGGTTGCCTGCAGGCAACTCGGACTGGGCTATGCCAACCACGGCCTGCAGGTGAGTGGGGAGGAGAGAGGAACCAAGGCTATTGCCTCCAAAGGCTGTGTTTGGGGCAGAGGACTGTCAAATTGAGTCCCTTGGCCTGGGAGGCTGGATGGTGGCCTCACAAAAACACCTCTGTGTGTCCCCAGGAGACCTGGTACTGGGACTCAGGGAATGTCACAGAGGTGGTGATGAGTGGAGTGCACTGCACAGGGACTGAGCTGTCCCTGGACCAGTGTGCCCATCACGGCACCCACGTCGCCTGCAAGAGGACAGGAAGCCATTTCACTGCTGGAGTCATTTGTTCTGAGAGTGAGTGAAGGGTCGGGCGACTCAAGCCGGGGAAGGGAGGCTGTGGGCTACCCCTCTGCAGGGAGAGAGAGCTGCAATCCGGAGGGGTCCGCCTCCCCTGCAGAAAACCAGTCTCACCCGACTTTCTGGGGGTGGGGGGCAGGGGATGCGGGGCAGGGGGTGGGGGTGGGGGTGGACGCACTCCCATCCGTCCCTGCCCCTCAGCAGGGAGTTCTAACCCTCCCCTTCCTTCCTCGGCGCAGCCGCGTCAGATCTGCTGCTGCACTCAGCCCTGGTGCAGGAGAGCGCGTACATCGAGGACAGGCCCCTGCACATGTTATACTGTGCTGCTGAAGAGAACTGCCTGGCTAGCTCGGCCCGCTCAGCCGACTGGCCTTACGGCCACCGGCGTCTGCTCCGATTCTCCTCCCAGATCCACAACCTGGGACGCGCTGACTTCAGGCCCAAGGCTGGGCGCCACTCCTGGGTGTGGCATGAGTGTCATGGGTGAGAGGGTCAAGTAGAAGGGCAAGGCCACGGGGGACGGGGCAAGCCTGCTGTGGGCAGGGAAGGAAACAGGGGTTCCCTTGTCCCCACAGGCATTATCACAGTATGGACATCTTCACTCACTATGATATCCTGACCCCCAACGGCACCAAGGTGGCTGAGGGCCACAAAGCTAGTTTCTGTCTAGAAGACACCGAGTGTCAGGAGGGTGAGTTGGGGCCTAGAGTAGACTACAGTTTCCTCATCCCCACAGCCTTGCCTCACACTGACATATGCTTATCTCTTCAGATGTCTCCAAGAGGTATGAGTGTGCCAACTTTGGAGAGCAGGGCATTACTGTGGGTTGCTGGGATCTCTACCGGCATGACATCGACTGTCAGTGGATTGACATCACAGATGTGAAGCCAGGAAACTACGTTCTGCAGGTGCCGGGGATCTAAGATTTCCAGCTATTGCATGGGAGGAGTGTTTATTAAAGACACATTTGGATTTGAGGACTGCAGCCGGTTAAGCTGGCATTTTCCCACTCACAGGTGGTCATCAACCCCAATTTTGAAGTAGCAGAAAGTGACTTCACCAACAATGCAATGAAATGTAACTGCAAATATGATGGACATCGCATCTGGGTGCACAACTGCCACATTGGTATTTGGTGGGAAGAGAAGCCAGAAAGACTGGGGGATGGGAGGGAAAGGCCTTCATTCTCTTCTCCCTAGGTTGTTTGTTTCTACGTCTTCCCACCCACTTGCGTATTTTCCAGTCTCCCCGCTTCTACCCACCCTTCCCCACAACGGGTCAATCTTCCTGCCCAAACCACATGTTCACCTTGCAGGTGATGCCTTCAGTGAAGAGGCCAACAGGAGGTTCGAACGCTACCCTGGCCAGACCAGCAACCAGATCATCTAAGGTGCCACCACCTTCCTCTGCAGACCACAACTGGCCCCTAATGGCAGGGGTCTGAGGCTGCCATTACCTCAGGAGCTTACCAAGGAATCCTTGACGTCAGCAGGCCCACAGCACTCATCCATTGTGCACTGTGGGTGTAGAACTGTCAAGCAGAAGTTATTGCCCTCCTTTTACGCCAGCTGTCTGGATCTGTGGCCAGGCATGGGGAATTTTGCTCCCAGGCCCAGCACCAAACCAAGCACGCCACAAAGAGGCGCACCTGATTGACTGCCCAGGAAAAGACAGCAGCAGCTCGTTTTCTCAAATAGGGAGGTCAGAATGGTCAATTCCCAATATCTCCTCTCAGTTCAGGGAGATACGGCTTTACCTCTAGCCTTTTTGTGGGGGGAAAGAGCAGTGCGCCACCCTTCCCCTCATTTTTGAGTATAACATGTTGCTAGGTATAATTTTATTTTATATAAAAAGTGTTTTTGTGATTCCTCAGGGCCCAGGGATTGGTGCTGGTAGTTGGAGGGACCTGCCCCCAACTGGTTCATTTAATCCTCCATCCAGGTGCCATAAGAACCCAAGCCAGGAAAGCAAGGTAGAAATCAGAGCAGGAGCCTCCTGCTCTTGCTGATCCATTCATTCTGTGACTTCAGGGGTCACATATAAGGTCAATGTTTCCGGTCCCCGCCGGATCCGCACTGCCAGCTGGGACTGGGTTCGAACGGCTTCATAAATATCTTCAGCATTTTGTACCAGCTGCTCCCCAATGGCCAAGATCACATCACCAGGCCGTAGACCAGCCCTATGGCAAAAAGTGTACAGAGAGATAAAGGAGGGAAGAGGTGGCCCAGTTCAAGGGCACATAAACACCTCACCCGTCTCCACCTCCCAGTGCAATCTCTCCCTCACCGGTGTGCAGGGGAGTCCAGGATGACTTTATGGATGAGCACACCATGCTGAACATCAGGAAAGCTTGGTTCTCGAAGCTGTAGTTCAGCAAGGATGCTGAAAGGACACAGATCACTTTGTTAATCACACCACGGCACTCTCCCAATTCTGGGTTCTCCTCAAATCTCTCATCAACACACTGATAAGTTATGGATAGGGCATGCACTAGATCCTCTTGAGACAAAAACAATTCACTTTCCGCCTTCTAGCAGTTAGGAAGTGGGACATGTATATAAAAGGTAACTAATTCCAAATGACACAGTATTAAATCAATAGCACTAATGTCATTCTAAAATTCTAAGAGAAGCTAGAAGGAGGTGGTATAACTTTAGCTGAACCTAGAAGGATTGGTCTGATATTTATATAAAATGAGAACAACATAAACAAAAACATGGGATTAGGAAATCAAGTTGGACGGAAAAGAATATACTCATAGGGAAGCCATGTCCGGAAGGTTGAGTTGAAGACATGGAAAATGGCCCCTAAACACCAGGCTAATGGATTGGAGATTGTAAATCAAAGCAATAACAGGATGAAATCAATCAGGTGGGAGGTATGCAAAGTGGAGTGGGGTGAGAAAATCAAGATAATGAGAGAGGACAGCTCTTCTGATAGTTCCAAGTATGAGGCAACTCATCTTAGATAAAGACAGAACTGAGAATGAAGCTCAACAGAAGTGCCAGGTGCCCACAACTGGTTACACTGATGGCCCTACCCCTATAGCTCATACCTGGGAGTCAGGGTTAGCATCATCACTCCAATGTAGCGGCGCTGGGACCCACTGCTTCCAAACCAGGAATCTGTGACAGAGGGACAAATAGGCCCCACCCAGCTACATCCTTCCTTCCCCCTCCTGCTCCTCCCAACAGACCCCTCTCCAACAAGCCCCCACCTCCACCCCCCACTACTTAAAGGAAACCCTTTACCCCCAAGCCAGGCTTACTCTTCTTTTCTCCACGATGTAGAAACTCTCGAAGGCGATCAGCAGGGATGGCAAAGGAGATTCCAGCTGTGACCTTCATGGTATTCACCCCAATCACCTCCCCATCCTGTTGGGACAGAGCCCACTATTCTCTAGCCCAAACAAATAGTAGGAGATGGGGGTACCTGAGCAAGAGTAGCAGGGAGTGTTGGGGAGTCGGGGAGATCTGGCTGGATTCCAGGAGACAGCCAACAAGAAACTGCTCAGAAACTTGACCAAACATCATTGAATTAGGGAAAACCCACCCCTTCCCACACTGACCTGGGACAGGGATTCTAGGAAAGGATGTCCCACTCACCAGGTTAACCAGGGGACCGCCAGAGTTTCCAAACTGCAGGACAAGGAGAAAATATGGAAGAGAGATCCAGGGACTCTATGCCTGGGGGCAAAACCAGGATGGAGGCACTTTCTCCAAATTCTCTCCTTTACCAGCCCATGAAGGGGTGGGCACGGTTTTTGCCACCCAACCTCCGTATACAGGCTAATCCACCATCTATCACAGCTGGTTCTTGCACCACACACCTCTACCCCCTCCCCCAACCTAGTCTGCCATTTCTCTCTTGTCAGGACGCACGTCAATAGCTGCATCAGTCTGGATGTATTCCACATTGGTTTGGGGAAGGCCCAGGTCTCTGGCTGGACGCTGAGCAGAGCTGACAATGCCGGATGTGATCGTGTTCTGCAGTGCAAAGGGACTTCCCATGGCAACAACAAACTCCCCTTGCCGGACATCGGCTGAACGTCCCAGGGGCAGCGTGGGGAGAGGCTCCTAAGGGAGAATGGGTACAAGAGACCTGTCATCTGGAGATGTGAGCAAATTCAGAGCCCCAACCAGACATGGCCTGCCCAGACCCCCACCTTGGTCTGAATCCTCAGCGTGGCGATATCTGCCACGGGATCCACAGCTGTGACGACAGCCTCATACGTATCGCCGCTAGGCAGCCTGACACGGACTCGGCGCCGATCAGCCACCACATGAGCGTTGGTAACGATGAGCCCGTCGGCAGCCACCACGAATCCTGAGCCATTCGAGATAGGGACTTCGCGGCCCGAAAATGGGTGCCTGGGATAGGGGGGCGGGGGTTGGGGAAGCACGGATGTGAGGAGGCTCGGACCCCTCCTTCTCGCCCGCCCTCTACCCGCGGTTTCAGTTCCTCCGGGTCTACCCCACCGTTACCGGCCCAAGATCTCGATATAAACCACGGCAGGGGCCGTCTTCTCCACCACGTCCGCGATGAAGTTGTACTGGCTCCGGGGAGAGGGAGGCGGCGAGCCAAGGACCGAGGCGAGGACGGCCGGGGGACCCCGACCCCCGCCCCACAACAACAAGAGCACTGCCCCCCCAGCGCCCAGCGCCACCGCCAGCCACACGCGCGGACGGGTTCCAGGGGTCCCTGAGTCTTCCCGGATCCGGGGATCTGGGGTCCCCTGGATCAGCCGTGCTCGGGGATCCGAAGTCCCCGACGTCAGACATGTTCGTGGTTCAGGGACTCCCACAGACAACCGGGCCCCGAAACTGGGGGTCCCATAAGTCAGTCGGGCCCGAGGGTCAGGAGTTCCTGACGTCAGCAAGGCCCGGAGGTCAGGGGTCAACAGGGGTCCCTTTCCCCAGCGACCCCCTCCCAAAGCGCGCCATCCCCGGAGGCTCCAGACTGCACCCCGCCCCGCCCTCAGTGCAGCCATCAGCTCCGCCTCGGGAGCCTCGTCGCCCGCCCTGCACAGAGGAGGCGCCCTGGACGCTTAGCGGGCGGACAGCGGGACGCGGAGCACGCCGGTACCTGAAGTCTCCAGAAGTGCACGCCGGAACCAAGGATTCCGGGAGGCCGACTCCGCCCCGGCCCCGCGAATGCCGGGAATTGTGGTCCCAGTGGGACGCGAGTTATGAGGTGGTCAAAGGGCCCGCGAGGCATGCTGGGACCGCTAGCCCTTCCGGGGCGCCTCAGGATTTCGGGTCCCGGCACCCTGGGCGGATGCCCGAAGACTCCGCCTTCCCAAGAGCCCCTGCGGCGGGGTGCGAAGATGGCGGCGGCGTCGGCCCGGCGCCCCTAAAGCGGCGGCAATGGAGCCTCCCCCGTCGCCGGGGCCGGAGCGGCTCTTTGATTCGCACCGGTAAGATCCCCGGAGGGAAGAGACCGGCTCCCGCGTCCACTTGGCCTTCGGCACCCGATCACCCCGCCTCTCGCCCCCCAGGCTCCCGGGTGACGGCTTCCTGCTTCTCGCGCTGTTGCTCTACGCTCCAGTCGGGTTCTGCCTCCTCGTCCTGCGCGTCTTTCTTGGGATCCACGTCTTCCTGGTCAGCTGCGCGCTACCAGACAGCGTCCTTCGCAGGTTCCGACCCGGGCGCTCGGGGAGGGTCGGGGCTGGGCCTGGCCGGAGGCCGCGCAGTCACCACTGCCGGCGTTCCCAGGTTCGTGGTGCGGACCATGTGTGCAGTGCTGGGGCTCGTGGCCCGGCAGGAGGACTCCGGACTCCGAGATCACCGCGTCAGGATCCTCATTTCCAACCACGTGACACCTTTCGACCACAACATAGTCAACTTGCTCACCAGCTGTAGCACCGTGAGTTAGGGACGAAGCCGAGAGTGCCACGGGGCGGTTCCCTGGGGCCCAGCTCAAGGCTCCCCTCTCCGTGTCCGGGTTTCCTTTGGGGACCACAAGATACTGACCCTTACCTCTGACCCCCTTTTTCTACCCATTTGTCCGTTTTTCTCATTTCTCAACATTCTTTTCTTCTTGCTTTCTCTCCTTCCCATTCCCAGCCTCTACTCAATAGTCCCCCCAGCTTTGTGTGCTGGTCTCGGGGCTTCATGGAGATGGACGGGCGGGGGGAGTTGGTGGAGTCACTCAAGAGATTCTGTGCTTCAACGAGGCTTCCCCCCACCCCTCTGCTGCTATTCCCCGAGGAAGAGGCCACCAATGGCCGGGAGGGGCTCCTGCGCTTCAGGTGGGTGAGCACAGGTATCTGTCTCCAACTGTGTAGGTGGTCAGGCCTGGGAGCCCTTGGGTTTTCACAGCCTTTTTCAGCCCTACCCCCTCCCTTCCTAGTTCATTTACTTTCTGTCCACTTTTAGTTCTTTCCCCTGAATCCCTTTATTCTCCATATTTCTACGTGTACAGTTTGACAGTTACCCGTTTTTAAGTTGGGTATGAGCTGCTGACTGGGTTGGCTGGAATCCCATCCTACTATCTCTTCCCTCTTTTAGTTCCTGGCCATTTTCTATCCAGGATGTGGTACAGCCTCTTACCCTGCGAGTCCAGAGACCCCTAGTTTCTGTGGTGAGTGTGTTCAACAGGGAAGCTCTGGGTTTGGAGGGGAAGTTTCCCACTCCTGGCCCTGGCTTAGACCTCACTCATGCCCTCCCCTCAGACGGTGTCAGATGCCTCCTGGGTCTCAGAACTGCTGTGGTCACTTTTCGTCCCTTTCACGGTGTATCAAGTAAGGTATTAACTGTCCTCACTTTTTGGTGGCTGGGAGAAACTCGTCTCAAGGTCAAGGAAGTAGTTGCCTCTGCCCTGTCCATTTCCAGATCTTTTAATATCAAGGTGCTACCACAGAGGCAATATAAAGTATTTACTATCTCCCCTATCCTCACCACCACTGTTCCAAGAAAAGAGGTATCAGAGTGGAGAGTGGGTGCCCCCAACATGGTCCTGGGTTGTTTTTTTCAGGTGGCTTCGTCCTGTTCATCGACAGCTGGGGGAGGGGAGTGAGGAGTTCTCCCTCCGTGTACAACAGGTGGGAGGGGACACAGGCAGGGTGGAGGTGGGTTCTTTCCTTATGGGGAAGGAGAGGAAGGCTTAAGAAACTTCCAATCTTCCAATTCTCCCTAGCTGGTGGCCAAAGAGTTGGGCCAGACAGGGACACAACTCACTCCAGCAGACAAAGCAGAGCACATGAAGCGACAGAGACACCCCAGATTGCGTCCCCAGTCAGGTGTGTGGTCTCTGGACACAAAGCTTTTTAGCTTTTTTTCAGCCTGTTGTGCTTTCTTCCTTATGCCTGTACTAGTCAGCCTCTCCGTCCTCCTAGTTCTCCACTCACCTTATTTCGTATTTCTTTTTTGCAGCCCAGTCTTCTTTCCCTCCCTCCCCTGGACCTTCTCCTGATGTGCAGTTGACAACTCTGGCTCAGAGAGTGAAGGAGGTTTTACCCCATGTGCCACTGGGTGTCATCCAGAGAGACCTGGGTATGAGAAAGGGTAGACTCACGTAAGGAGACAGGCATAGAGACGGAAAGTGGGTGGTGAAGGGAGAAGGTGAACAGGGAAACAGACTGTCCTGTTCTCTCTTCCCTTCTGCCCAGCCAGGACTGGCTGTGTAGACTTGACTATCACTAATCTGCTTGAGGGAGCTGTAACTTTCATGCCTGAAGACATCACTGAGAGGACCCAGGCCCTTCCCACAGCCTCCACGCCCAAGGTGAGACCCAGAAAATGGGCAGGTCCAAGACTTGGGGTGGGATGGGACAGTCTGCATATCCCCTGTCCCTGAGGTCTGTTTTTTTGATCCTGAGACCCTAGCACAGTGCCTCTCTTGCAAAGTAGGCATTCGATGCGTGTTTAATGGTGATGACTTCGCAAGCCCTCTGACATTGTGATCACCTCAGTTCCCCAGCTCTGGCCCGGTGACCCCTCAGCCCACAGTCCTAACATTTGCCAAGTCCTCCTGGGCCCGGCAGGAGAATCTGCAGGAGCGCAAGCAGGCGCTGTATGAATACGCAAGAAGGTGAGGGGCTTAGAGAACAGTGGGTAGGAAGGGGCCGATTGTATACAACAAAACCCATACAGTGTCTTCTCCTTATGTCCCACAGGAGATTCACAGAGAGGCAGGCCCAGGAGGCTGACTGAGTACAGGATGGCACCCAGAGCCGCAGGACGGAGACTGGGGGCAGCCCTCACCCAACTCACAACAGGCCGGATGGGTGGGTGGTAAAAAAGGAGGGATGGGGCTCCCCCCAATATCACATTAAATTCAGGGTTTTCACTCACGGTCTCTGTTGCCTCTCTGGGTCTCAGAAGCCCCATAGCAAGTTCCTTTTCCCTTGGTTGTAGGGATCAGGGATGAGGGCTTCCTTGTGGGTTTGTGGGGGTGGTCAGAATGGAACTGTCTGCAATCACCTCCTCATGTCAAGAAATGCGTGATATTAAGGAAATGTAACTGAGCTGAAGGCCCAGAAGCAACTGGACCCTAGCTTGGGTGTTCAGCCCAGGTATGTGAGGAAAAAGCTGCAAAACTGCAAGTCCCAGGATGCCTTTCACTAATGAGCACAGTACACAAAGTCTGCAGAGTTCACACATGCTCAGTGTGGTGGCTTGAGCCTATTTTCCATAGGCCGCTGACCAGATTAAATAAGGTGGAGCACATGGCCCCACCCCAAAACAGTCTTTAGGACTGTTGAGGCACACCCCAGGGTGGAGCCGGAATTTACCTTTGTACTTCACAGCAGGTCAGGGTTATTGGTGACTTGCTGTGTGGGTCTGGAACTGGCTGCCATCCTGACACGTCTCAGAGCTGCAAGCAGGTTTGAATCCAGGATCCTTGTGGCCCTGCTCCCTGATTCCTACCCCGCTCCTCTGATTCTTCATTCTGTTCTCTTGGGGACCTTCCCACAGATTACCATGTCTCAAAGAATTCCTGCTGCCCCTGAGGACCCCTGTGTTAGTCAAAGGATTTTTACTATCTGACTACAGGGTAATAGTCCACTTTTGATAGTCCCTTACGTGGAGACTCAACTCTCCACTGTTTTCCTGGCAGGCAAGAAATACTGGGAAGGATGGACCCCGGGGCATTATCACTTGAGGGTACAGGTTAGGGATCAGGGCTGAGGTGGGCAGATGGTGTCAGTCACCAAATACGAGGCCTTGATGTCTGCCCTGCCTTCTGTAGGTCCTGCTAGACAGCCACCATGGCCTCTCAGGTTCTCGGGCTGGAAGAAGAGTCTGGCCCAAACCCTGGGGATTCTGAACTGGCTGTGAACCCCTTTGACGGGCTCCCCTTCTCTTCCCGCTACTACGAGCTGCTTGAGCAGCGCCGATCCTTGCCTATCTGGGCTGCTCGCTTTATCTTCTTGGAGCACTTGGAGAGTAGCCCCAGTGGAGTGGTGCTGGTGTCTGGAGAGCCTGGCTCTGGCAAGAGCACCCAGGTTGGGGAAGATTCTGGGAGTGGACAAACGGAGGGGCTAGGGAACTGGCTCTTCCCGGGACAACGGAGGCGGGGGAGGGGGGTGGGGGGCAGGGTGGAGCTGTGCGGAGTAATAAGGGAGGTGGGTAAAAGGAGATAGGCTGGCCTCAGGGTAGCTGGTGAAGGACCAGGGGACTCCCCAAATAAGAGATTAAACTGGCCACAGCTCCCCCAGCACTTTTGACTGGAGTTCTATATCTTGCTGACTGATTGTCCTTCCCTACCCTTACCCCAGATCCCACAGTGGTGTGCAGAGTTTGTGCTGGCCAGGGGTTTCCAGAAGGGCCGGGTAACTGTGACTCAGCCCTACCCTCTGGCAGCCCTGAGCTTGGCCCTGCAAGTTGCTGATGAAATGGACCTGACCCTGGGTCATGAGGTTGGATACAGCATCCCCCAAGAGGACTGCACTGGGCCTGACACCCTGCTCAGGTGTGGCCCCCTGCAGGCCTGACCCCAGATCTCCTTCCCCTCATCCAGTAGAAACAAGCCCAGTCTTCTGATATCTCACCATTCCCTCCCTCAGCCTAGCTCACCCTTTAAATCATGCATGATGCAACTGCTGAATTCAGCCCTTTAACCCCAGCCAGGGACCTCAGACATTCAACCTCACCCTCATCATGAAAGTCTCACTTTCCTAACTGGAGTACAGCTTGTGAACAGTGTCCCCAGTGGGGTTGTGGGTCACAGGTAAAGGTCCATGGGCTCAGGAAGTCAGTCACAGGGTCGTCTTCTGATCTTTACTATCAGAATCTAGGCCCCCTGGGGAGAAGCTCCTCTGGACTTCTGGGGCTGGTCATTGTCTACACTGACTCCTCTGCCCACTGCCAATGTCAACAGGTTCTGCTGGGACAGGCTGCTTCTGCAGGAGGTGGCCTCGACCCGGGGCACTGGAGCGTGGGGTGTGCTGGTGCTGGATGAGGCTCAGGAGCGGTCAGTGGCCTCAGATTTGCTCCAGGGGCTCCTGCGAGATGCCAGGCTGGGAAACCTTCCAGGGGACCCCAGAGTGGTTGTAGTTACTGACCCAGCCCTCGAACCTAAGCTCCAGGCCTTCTGGGGCAATCCTCCTGTTGTACATGTACTTGGAGAGACTGGCAGGTGTTCCACTCCCGTCTACAGGGACACTGTCCCTACTGATAGAGTGGAAGCTGCCTGCCAAGCTGTGCTTGAGTTGTGTCGGAAGGAGGCTCCAGGAGATGTGCTAGT